TAGTGACATCTCACATGTTTGAAACTGACTCACCAGGTTCAAAATCTAGATAGATCTCTATCACATAGCCAATCATGGTCCACTGAGTAGGAAATATTGAGTTTCGATATTTAATACTATTTCTTTGTATATATTTCTCACATTCATACTAAATTAGTCCAAATAAAAGTGGATTGAAGAAACCTGCGGTCTGAAGCTAACCCATTTCATTTTGTACTTTTACTCTTGATGGTGTTTTTACATAAGCCATTAACTTTCATACCATCCATGATGCCAGGTATTGGATAATTCAAAAACGTAATTCTTAACTTAATGGATCCTTTTGCTTAAGAAGTTGAGTAGCTACAACTTGTATTATTATTATTAGCATTGAATTATGGTTAATCTATTTTAGAAAATATTTGTAACGTATACAAAAATTGTAAAACAACTGCTTACTTAAATGTTTATTTATCTAATGATTATCAAGACGGGTTGTGATCGGAGGATCCAAAGTTCGAGCTACGATATGCCTCTAAACACTTTTCACACTTTCAGCTATATGGGTATTATAGCTGTATCATTTAATCCTGCTCTTGGGTTAGGATTAGCCGCATAAGCGGAGGAGCTTCTGAATGTTTGCGCTACATTTAGTTAGCAGTTTTAGATTATGGATATGTATGCTTGAACTTTCTCTAACCTGAGTGTTTATCTAATGCGACACGCAAAGTTCTCTTCTGTTTGAAAATACCAAATACTAAAACCAATAGTGATATATACTTTTATTTTTCAGAGGACTTCTGGTTTTCCCACAACGTTTGTTGATCAGAACTATTTATATTCAATGATGAGTCAAAATGTTTCAACATATTCTTTTCTTATAACACACCGGGATTTTCTTCCAACATCTTTAAAGGTAATTGCCCTGTTTCAACACTGACTGTGCTGAGTTTAAACTTTAAACTAAAAAGGGAAATACTCTGTCGTTCACAACAACTGATAACGAGAAGAGATGCGAATTTGTGTTCACACAATCACACCTTTCTTTTCAGTTTCATATAAGACCATCATCAAGAGTTCAAGTCTATCTACTGATTAACACCTATCATTAGAGATTTCTCCAGTAAAATTTCTAAATTCTCTAAGGAGTTAGGATTTACAAACAAATACAACCCAATTTTTTTATAGTTTATGTTTCATCGCTATTTCCAAGATGATGCTCACACTGACTTTTATCATTACTTTTCACTAACATGTAAACAAAACAAATGTGTATTTTCGGATCACATTTTTTTGTGCGAACACTATCTAGCCTTAGAGACATATATATATCATACATAGAATATGCAGGCCGAACAAAATGTTAGATAGCGTTATCATCCTTTCAAATTTCGCACGGTTCCTAGTGGTTATGATAAAACTTTTAATTTTCAGTTCTTTTAGTTTTAAAATATATTTGTATTCCAAAATGTAAAATGTTGACAATCTTCCTTTTCGAATATTTTTTCGTCATTGGTGCCCTGAAATTTGAAAATCAGTTAGTCTATCTCCAGTCTTTATTATTTTATTAAACATTATTAGAAGAGTGTGTATTATTTCAACCACACTTTAGTCGTCATATCCATTGCGAACGAGGAGTTTTGCTCAATTCAGAGCTCTTCTGGCCGACTGGAATACATAAACAAATCCAACATTGTCAGGTATTTTGATTTACTCTTTCACGTTTCGAAGCTTTGATACTCCAGAGATAAACCAAAGAGGGTGCTCAAAAATATTTGTTTCTCTTCGCCCAAGTACATAGTATTAGTTGGAACATTATATATAT